ACAAGTCATGTAATTTGTAGAGTGTTAGTTGACATAATTTATGATTCTTTATCAAATTAAAAAATTCTAAACATAGAGAAGATAATATTCACATATCTTAAATTGTTTCCGTCTAAATATAGATTCGACTTTGTTCATATGATGAACCCGGATCTAAGGCGGGCCAAAGAGGTAATCTTAGTTTTTCATAAAAAATATATGTTCTAGCCTGTAGAAATAATTTTAAAAATATTATCTGAAGCACAACAAAACCATGATAACGTAGTCATATATACGATGGTCATTTTAATATATTCTATATTCTTTTTTAGTTAATGTCATTTCATAAACCGATTTCGTAGACAACAAGTAGTTGAAAAACAAATGGACGTACTATATTGGAATCGATACAAGTTGAATAGAATTTGCAAGAAAAGTTTTGCATATGTGTCCAAGTTTTTGATAAAATTTTAACGTTAATCAAAAATGGCAATTATGATAAAATATAAAAAAAAATTAATTGCAAATTGCTTGCAAAAGGATAAAGAATACCTTGATACATTTTCAAGAGGGATGAAATGTATCAGATGTATATTAAAATCTCGGATTAAGCAGTAAAGAGGCAAAATGAAAACCACCTATCCTTAGATTACACAGTATGTACTGTTTCCTGCTGACAAAGCAATGAACCACATTGTTTTTGTTTGTAAGGCACATTATTTAAATTGTATTTTAGAGGTACATGGATTTTATTCTAATTTGATTTTTTTACAAGTAGTGTACACATTTCAATTCAATAACTAAAATTGATGGACCGTCAACAACCCCCCCCCCCAAACGCTCCCCAACTTCCTTTTATAGTCATATGTAAACGTAATTAAATAAGACAAACTCTTTGCATTTGTAATTTAACAACGTTTGAGAAGCGTACCATGTTCATTCGAATTTTATCAGTTGCACACTTGCGCATGTGAATTAATGCATGTGCGTAATGACCATATCATATTGTCGGATTAATGGCTATATATTTTAATATGCTAAATATTAAAGTATTTAATGGCAAAAGTATATAAAAAAACGCTCAAAATGTATTTTTGATTGTTTTTCCGTACGTATGATTTAAAAATATTTTTCTTAATTGTTTTGTTATGCTTCTTCTTAAAAACAAAAGAGATAAAGATAACAAAAGGGAGTTATAGCTTTTTGAAGTTTAAGCCAATCAGATTGCAGCACACGCATCATCCAACATTATGCAATTCAATAAAACAAAAGTAGAAGTCCATTATATATATCATGGTCCGGGAACAATTTTTTACTAGAAAAACATTCTGAAGATGCTTGTAAAAGAAAACCGGCGAAAAACTGCAAAAACGCCAATAGCAAAAACACCAGGACTTTCCGAAAATGAAAGTTAAAGGACTATAGAGATGCTAACAATTGGTTGATCATGATAATTGCTATACATCATGTTGTGATATCCCAAATGCATGGCTATGTTCAAAATTTCAAAGCATTAACACGTAATCAATCGCCAGCGTTTATAACGTCCAATCAGAGCGAAGTGCACGTGCATGAGCGCAATCTTGCTATTTTGACCATGTCATATTGTTATATGCCACAAATATACCTTATATTATGAGTTTCAAAGCATTTCATCAAAAATGTAAAAAGTTATGCCTATATCAATTAAATCAGTCATTTCAAGTGTTGCAACACGCTCTTGCAAGCACGTGCGCGCAAAATGATTTTTCGGCAAATCTACAGACCTCTCAAAGCAAAAACATTTTACCTCATCAACAATCACGTTTACAAGATCAAACACAAATTTTCATCTTGGATTCAGAAAAAAAAAAATAATAATGCCATTTTCTTTGCAAACTGAATTGTCAACATTTCAAATGCATTATAAATTATTGGTCTACTTGCTAAACTTATTTTGCTCAGTATATGAGTATAAACGGTAATCCAAAGATGATATTGAAAAGATGCTTGCAAATAAATTTCTAATTGACAGTATCGTTGTAATATTGTTAGGTCATTATTTGTACACTGAATTGTAAACGGATTTTCCCGGTATTTATGGATCATGACAAGGAGCACACAGGAGGTGTGATGGATCGAAACGAGATGCTCACTCCTCTTTAGCACTTAACCCCCCCCCTTCCCCCAATGTGTTGGAAGTTTGAGTTTGTTATGCTATTATTTTTGTATCAAAATTCAATAATCAAAAAAAAAAAATCATTTCAAGCTACTTCCATGTATTTATGATGAAAAAAAAACTTTGACTTTTTCATTTGAAGATTTCACAGTTCTCCCTAGGAGGGGCTATTAAAGATAATGTAATCAAAGAAGCAAATATCAAGGAGTTTATTGATATAAAGTTTTATTTTACCGTAACTTTCAAAATTTCAAAATTAATGGATTAATCTTTTGAACGTTGACTGGAAACTTTCGCCTATGTTACATCATGAACTTTTAATTTTTTAAAGGCATACGAAATATTGTAAATTTTTCTGTTAATTTATGAAGTGTAATAAAATTTTAATAATACACAATAAAATCACAGTAAACGGACTAATCCCTGTGCGTTAGATTTTACTTTTGTATCGGCATAGCATATGATAATAAATATATCACCACAGAAAGATAAAAGAAAATCACCGCAGATATGCCACAATCATTTATTTCACAGTACTCCCTAGGAGGGAATATTGAAGATAATGTAGGCCTTACAACTAATTTTTCAAATTGCACATATAATGATAAAAAAACATTGCATAGATAGATTTATAGCTACATGAAATTATCAAAGAAGATAATAACTTATGCATACTTTTAATTTAAATATAAAAAAGTTTCATTATTTATAATTGACTTGTATGATGACCTGTTTAAGGACAGGTAACTCAGGTGTAAAAATGACCAACTAAGTGCCGATTTATGAGTTATCGTTTATAGGAATGATATATAGGCTGCTTCAGCATTGATATTGTTATGTACACGAAAGGGTTACTTGCTTTGTTTTGTACACAAAAGAGTTGACCAAAAGGAGGAGAATGTTTTCAGTCTACCTGTAATAACAGGGTCAAATGCATTGCAAAGCTATTTTGAATTTTACTTCTTTGAAGATTGTTATGACGAAGAAAATATAATGCATGTTTTTTCTGAATCACTTTTGGCTTTATATATATATATAATTTTATAAGTGAATGCAACAACTGATTATCTTAGTTGTGTTTCTAAGCACGCAGAGGAACGACCGAGTATAAAAATTTAATCAGGTTAAAACTAAGAAGGAGGGTAGATTTCACTTTTTAATTTAATTAAAAATTTTAATTATATGTAGCTAAACTGTCTGCAACTAACACAATAATTTTAACACTTTTTGTCATAAATTTTAAAACCACTAGAATCTACTGGCAGCAAAGAATCACTTGGGAAATGCTAAAAACTGACTTGCGTGTAAATAGTTAGATACCTCGGGACTGCTCTAAACAAGTTTCAGCAGTGAGTTATCGTTCATAACAGCGAATCTAGAGGCAGCTGAAAGGCCTAGATAATGTAATCACGCCATCCCCTAGCTACTAATTATCTATTTTATTTTAGCTTACGATCGCCGAAGGCAAAAGTGAACATTTTTTTTATCAGCTTTGTCCGTTGTTTGGCGTTGTCGTTTTTGTCGCTTATGTCGTACATCATGAACTTTTTACAATTTCATTTTCTTATCCATGCAGAAGCATTTAGTAAATTCATAAGTATGATTTATTATACCTCTCACATAAGGTAGTGAAATTTGAATAATACACTAAAAAATCACAGTTAATGGACTAATTCCTGTGCGTTAGATTTTACTTTTGTATCGGTATAATATGTTAATAAACTTATCCACGTGCGTTAGTGAAGGGAGGTTATCCCAGCTCCAGAAGCGAATTCAGTTATTTGTTATCAATCTTAAATTACTTTTGTATCGGTATAACATAACAGTTAAAAAGTAAACTCATTGAGATAGTTAGCAAGATTCCAGTTCCACGCAACCAGAACTACATTTAGTACGTTCAACTTTGCCTCGGGAAATAGTCCTGGCCCCGGGATCATGAAACAGACTTAGACTTAAGTCAAAATTTCAATTATCTATAAAATCGTTAAAAGTTATGAAAGGAAACTCATAATTTGCATACAACAGCAGACTGGTGATACAAAATTAGAAGGCATTTTCATTTTGGGCTGCTTGGCTTCTAAAAAAATTCAGCATCTAAGGCATTTTTTGACTTAAGCTCAAGATACTTCATGATCCCGGGGCCAGGTCTTTGGGAACTGGAATCATGCTAACTCCGTCAATGTATACTTTAACTGTACATCAATTCAAACTAAGAAGAGTATTTTTTATCAATGAAATTCAGGTTTGTTCAAATCAAGAGCCATGGGATAGGGTGGGGCAACACTAGAGACATATCATTATCATGGTCATAATAAAACTTTTTGGCATTAAACGACTAAAAAGTAATTAGAAGAAGCGAATTTTCAGAAACTTGCCTCAAATTGAACCATTAAAATTTAACTGCGAATGAGCAAGAGAATTCTTAATCTCTCTCTATTTTTCTCTCAACAACAATACCATATGCTTTAATACTTCTTTCGAAATTACATATTGATAGACAATCATATAAAAACCAATGTATTTAACATTTTTTGTCTCATTTTTGGAAAACCACGCGAAAAAAGTAGTTTTTTCAACACAGTCTTTCTTTTTTTGTGTATTGCTAAATATTGATCATATAAATTTTATAAAGAAAAACAATAATACGCATGGTTACCGTAATTTATTTTCCCAAAATAATTATAAAAAAAATAAGCACAGTAGATAGCAGACATATTTATATGAAGATAAATGCTGTTTCCCTGGTAATCTGACTGTGCATTTATATGTTGACATAATGTTTACTTGACAATTTATCATTTAAGTTATCTTTAATTTTAAAGAGATAAAAAATTAAGTGTTAACGTTTTCCGATTATTTACAGATTTAGCACGGAAGTATATTCATGCACGGATTGCCTTCCAAACTATTTTAATTAGCTAAAATTTTGATTTAACATGGCTGAATCGAATCAATCGCTACCAAAAGTATCATGGAGAGAGGAGGATATTGCCATTGTCGAGGCAGGTTTCTCTCTCAAGTACAACACCTTTTCGGATTTTTTCAAGATCATTTCGGTAAACCAGCAAAATGAAATACAAACAAGAACAAAAGCCCGTGTAATAATAAGTAACTTTGAACGAGAAGAAAGAAACTATTTTCAGCTCTTCAAACCTTCACAGTTTGAAGTGTCCAAAGGAGATACAGCTATCACGGCTTTTGAGAGAGATCTCAAGCAAATAAAAGATTTTACATTTTTTCCAACTTTGCGAGAAGTTTATGCAGGTGCTGAAATCTTACAGAAAACCATATGTTTGATTACATTGCAAAACGGAACAACACAGTTTAAAGGGATAGGTATCCATCCTTTTCTTCATGAGGGTGAAGAAGATCCGAAAACCATGGTCATTGTTTTGAAGTTTTTCGAAGGAGGTGTATATTTCCAAGAAGTTAACTGGCCCGAGGAACGCCCATTAGAATCATCGCCTTTCAATCTTATAAATAAGGATCATAAACAATGCCTGGATAGAAGATTCTGCAACAGCTTTGACGTCCTAAAAGATGACTTTAACTTCAATTTCCTCTGCAATGGAACAGACGTGAAAGTACTAGTTGAAGGTGGTTTGACGTTTTTTGAAGTTCTCGGCGATGTTTGTTACGCAGATAAGGCTTCCAATTTCTTTGCTAGAGATATAGTTGGTGCTCATCAGTCAGATCCCTGTTATAAGGAGGTATATACCCGATTAATGGATATAAAAACAACCATATATCTTAAAGAGGAGGAAATTCAAGGCGCTAATGATGAAAGAGATTCAAGGAAAAGGGAAAAGTTAGAAGAACAAAATCGTGCAAAAGCTCATGAGAAGCATTTAAAGGAATGGAGCATTTTCGGAAAAGGGGACAGTTTTGCCGTTGCTAGTTTATATCACATTGAGTTGTATGTCTCTGACGGAAGCAGACATGATATATTTCATCCCATCTGTACATCTGTTGACACTGTTTTCAAATCGTCCCTTTTTGTGCAGAGAACAAGAGGTTTGAAATCGATAGGGAAATACAGCGGAATTTCTTGTAAAAGTAAAAAACCCACAGTGATCGGAAACTTCCCTTTGATTTCAGGAAAGAAGGAGGAATATATCTTTAATCAACTGAGTGAGTATTTCTTTTTTCAAGAAAATATATAAATATGTTTATATAGTTATTTCTTATACATTTTGATTTCGTCTTTTCATAGAGAAGTCACCCTATATTTGCTGTCCACCAGAGGATCGAAAACACAATAATGTGCACAAACACTTAAAAGATATCAAGGAATCTAAAACAGAATTGGACGAAATACAGCCATTTCCGACAATTAAGACAAAACTTCAAGCAGCAATAAGCTTCAGTCTGGAAATGGAAGGAAGGCGGATTGACCACATAGAAAATGGATCACTTGAACAATGTCTCAGCAAGGAAATCTATGGTTCACATAATCAAGAATTTATTGAAAAGTTTCGGTATGGTGTAGTTGGTATAAAATGCCGATTTTCAATCATATCAATGAAGTCTTAAATTCATTTTTTTATTTTATTTTTTTTTTATTTTATTTTTTTTTTAACTTTTTTTTATCATAGATACATAAATGTTGGTTAAGGATGTTTCTCCTTCCTTATGAATAAAATTGTATTCATTTAAACAGCCTCTATCTAAGCCATTTGCAAGTTATCCGATAAGTAAAAATTTAACATTGCAATAGTACACTTTTTTGAGTTAAAATGGTATGCAATGATTGCAACCTTTGAGAAATATTACATAAACAGCTTATGCGGTATTTGTAATTTTTCTTCTGCAAGTCTTGCAACTATTAATCTCTGTATTCATATGTTATTACACTCGTAGGATAAATGTTGCTGATGTATCGAAAGACGAAGATCCTGAGAAAAGTTTGGAAAAAGTTTCTAACGAAATAAAAATTCCGATATACGTTCTTCGATTTAAAAACAAAGAAAAATGTTGGAGGCGATATGTTCCTTCAAAATTACAATCACCTGAGAGAAAACAGTGTACATTTTATATCACCTTACTTCAGGTAGAAATGGGGGGCCATCTTTGGTTTGAGAGAATCGTTCCAATCAAAGGATGTAACTGCAGTAATTTTTCGCCAGAAGTTGCAAACTTAAGAAAAGAAGGTAAACTTGAATAACAACAAGTGTAGTTTGTAGACTTACGTTAATGTAGATATAAATAACAAAAAAAATCAATTTGTTTACTCTGATAAAAAAGTAATTGAAAATAAATACATAGATACATTCCGTCTTAGAATGTTTTGTGGGGGATGGGGGGTTTAATAATAATGAGGCGTACGTTATCAATACAGTTATATTGTACAAATCTTTTCTCTTTGCTTCAAGATCAGAGCTTAACTGGAAAACTTCATATCGATAGAGACCAAAGACATACCCCACTTGTTACCTTTCTGACTGATGACCCAAAAATGGATTTATTTACGCATGAGAAGCGACAATATCCACTTTTTACAAAGTTTTCTGAAATACGTTCGATTCTGGATCGACCAGATATGAATGACAGAATGATTGAAGATAATGTTGATAGTTTCTATTCCCTGTATAGATGTTTCAGTAAGGAAATCTTTGGAACTGAAAATCATTATGAATTGATTAGGAATGAGGTACTTTATGAAATTCTTAGCAATCCCAGTGTATACGCTAATTTTTTCCGCGACCAACGGCAATCACGCCATAAGGAAGAAATGGACGAGTTTTTGGATAACTTTCGTTTTCGAAAACTCTCATTTTTTGACAAATTTAAACCTCGAAGTGTACTAGAGAAAAACGATGTCTTATTTTTTTCAAATCGCATTGAAGATGGTTTGGAATTAGAAGACCTAGAGCTGTTTGCCATTGCAACGTGCTTTCAGTGCAGTATTTATGTTGTGTCTATTTCAAGAAATGACACAGAAGAAGATGAATTTTCAGGATGGAGAAAAATTGAAAAGCTTCGGGTGAAAGCTAAGCCTTTGAATTTGGAAAACAGGATATTTCAAAGTCGATGTCAAAGTACAGTGGAACATTATGTTACTCTGGTCCAGACATGTGCTGGAATTTTTCACAGAATCGTAGGGAATAACGAGTCTATCGTATGCAACTGTTTGCAAGATCCACCAATAGTTCCTTCAATTATTAAAAGAGATGATTCCATCAAGAGAAAAGGTGTATATATTTTTTTAAATTTATTTTTAGTTAAACTCTGAAGTAAAGTTTTTATAAAACGAAAAAAGTAATATGAAGGAGACAAAGGTAAAGCAAGATTCAAATCGCAATAAATAAGTTCAAACTCACCGATGATTCATGATTTTTAAAATGTTGAACTTCTTAATTACTGAACTACTATATACTGAATTACTTTTGTTGGTTCTAGATTTTGACATCGGAATTATTCGAGTATATCAGAGGATTGACAGTCAACTCTATAAGACACAACAAAGATTTGAATTCTGGATAAGATGTAACGTGATATTCGAAAAGTTCTGCGCAGATTCCATCAATCTTCTTGAAGGACGAAGGAAGAAAAGCAATATTGCAAGTATTGCAGGGTCATCTGTTGGTTTGATAGGGGGTGCACTGGCAGTTGCAGGAATTCTCGCTGCTCCATTCACGGCGGGGGTATCTTTTGGCCTTGTAGTAGCTGGCGGTGTAGTTTCTGGTCTCGGGAGTGTTACGTCTGTGATTTCGAAACTCACAGAGTTAGGTTTGAATAGAAAGGAATCAAATTTATCCGAACGGCTACAAATGAATATGAGAGAACATTCAAGACGCCTAGAAAATGAAACACAGAAGCTTGAAGAAATTATGGTGAAATTGGATAAAATTATAAAATCAAAAAGAGATATTGCAGATGAATTATCAAGAGCAGATCCCGTACGCTCGTCGGCCGTCTACCTGAGATCTGTTAGTGGATTAGCCTCATTACCAATAGCAGTATTAAGAGCTTTATCACGAGCAGTTGTCGCCGCTGAAGCCGTTTTTATTCCAGTGTCTGTTTTACTAGATGGTGTTATTTTAGGGTTATCGGTGCGAAACTTGTACCAGGGATCTATTACTGGAAAGTCAAAGGAGCTAAGGACAATACGAAACTTTCTAAAATTAACTCGAATTCAAATGGAAATTTGGGCATTTGGTAATGATGCAAGTCAGTATATGTACGAATGCGAGGTATGTATATATTGCAGGGGACTGGTGTAGACCCTGACTTTCTTAGAGGTATGACACAAATAGGCAAGAAAACTACATGTTATTATAGCTGGTAATTTTAAGGGTTAGTTTCAAGATTAAAAATGAGTTAAATCAAAAAGTTTTAAACATTTTTTTGTTATTATTTTCTCGTATAATGTTTTTGTATAAATAGAATCTGTTTTAAATACGTTTAACGAACATAAACTAAACCTAAATGTGTAATTTAGCTCTCTTATGTTTATACATTTGTATTATTATAATAATGATTGACTTCATGTTCGTCTACAAGGTTTTTTGTCGTTTTTTTTCAGGATGAAATCACTAAAAAGTCTTCTGCGGACGAACTGAATTGAATGCTGATTTAATGCGCAGTTTTCAGCATATGTTCAAGTTCGACTACTTTATGTGACGTACATGTATCTGTATTATTAATAGAGAAAATCTAACAGTTTTTACAACAGATTTATTATTTATGAAAAAATTAATTAACTTAAACAATCCAAATCATTTACTTTTTCATGTTTGAAATATATTGTTTCATAATTAATTTTTATAATTAGATCAAATTTTGTAGATTAATGGACTTAATGCTTATTTTTTTAAAATATAATTTTATATTTATTGAACATATCAACTTCACTTTTTCGGATTTGTCAAAGTCGAGGTTTATTTGTTCAATCTTCTAAAAAAGAGAAGAGGTCTGTTCTAAAACGGGATTTGCAAGCTTTTTGGGTAAGTTTGTTGTAAAGTTTTTAAAGCATCCATTTGATTTTTCACACGGGCTAAACGTTCTTGTTGAGGGCTTAACGATGTCCCTGGAATTTTATGTACATGTATTCACCTAGTCAAACGCATCTAGGTAAAGTGGACACGGATTGACCAAGTGATCTTAATTTACTAAATAGATTAATTTTATGAGGAAAAAGCAAAATTATAAAAATCAGCCTAATTATGTAATTTTTCCAATTTTTTGTTCATTTTTGTATTCACTAATAAGTGTCATTTCTTTTATGAAATAAGATACGTCAGGTTATTAATTAAATTGAATGTCTAAACAATTGACTTTGTGCTCCTTAAGAAACAAGAAGGCAAGAAGAGGGTAAAAGAATGAAGACTAAACACTTCTAGCGTGATTACACTAGTTGTTTGCTTTTAGGGGAAATACGGAAGGTATTTCATTCTCTAAAAACAAGGAGAAAAACAAATCAAAGAATTATCAACTTTTCTAAATTTGTGACATGATATTAATTTTCTTTCAAAGAGATAAAAATTGTTTGTAAAATCTGTCTTTAATAGCATATAATCCTTATGCGTATTTTTTGCATTTTGAAGTTATATTAAGTAAAAACTGCAAAATTTCTCATTTTCTATGTATTTCGTTATTGAGCAAAGTGTTCTTGATCCCAGCTTAATTGTTCACATCTTTAAATGTCGTCATGTCAGGTTGCGATATAAATTTCATATGTTTAAACTCTATAAAGGTACGCTTTTGAACGGAATGGAAATTTTAATTATATTTTTAAATTTGTGAGACCTTGAGTCTATCTTCATTGCTCTGTTTAAAAGCATTTTTCATCATTGAATTAAACCAGCTGGACGTTTGCTTATTCCTTTCTTCTTGTTTTTGATCTAGTCTCAACAAAAGGATATATCAATTGGGTTGAGATTCTGCCAAATTTTTGTCTCTAATCAAAATAACAAGGCATATCATGATTATTTGTCATGTTATCATTTTCAATTTAAGATTGAAAATTAATTTTAAAAACCGTTTTTAGCTCACCTGAGCCGAAAGCTCTGTTGTCTGTTGTTGTTGTTGTTGTCGTAGTCGTTGTTGTAAACTTTTCACATTTTCATTTTATTCATAAGGTCACTGGGCAACTTTCAACCGAACTTGCATCAAAGTATCCTTATGTAAAGGGTATTCAAGTTTGTTCAAATAAATGGTCATACCCTCGTCCAAGGAAACATCTTTTGAAAATCCTCTTCTCCAGAACCGCTGGGCCAGGAAAGATGAAACTCATATGGAAGCATCCCCAGTAAATGCAGGTCAAATTTGTTGAATCAATACCCTCAGGGGTAGGGTTGGGCCACTATGAGGGATCAAGGTATAACATAAAAGTACATTGGGAATTTCTTTTAAAAATTTCTTCTCACGAACCCCTTGGCCAGGATAGAAAGAAACCTTTGAGAAAGTATCTTCACTTAGTGTAATTTCAAGTTTGTTCACATCAGGGATCAAAGTCTTACAAAGGAATATACAGGATAAATAATTTTTTTCTTCTCAAGAATCTCTGGGCCAGGCAAGATAAGACTCAAAGTTTTACATAGGATTACATAGGGAAAATCTTCTTGGCAAGAACCTCTGGGGCAGGGAAGATAACACTTATGTTGAAGCATTCTCAGGTAGTGTAGAATTAAGTTTGTTCAAATCGGGGAATAGGGAGGGGCCACCACAAAATATCAAGGTTTTACATAGAAATGCATAGGCATTTTTTTTTAAATATGTTCTTTTCAAGAACCCATGGGCCAGGAAAAATAAAAATTATGTGGAAGCATTCTCAAGTACATTACCGACCAAACCCAATCTGACACAAAGCAGTCCCAGATTGGTCCCGGGGCTCCTTTCTGGGACTGCTAAAACAGTCCCACGGTGGTCCCAGAGCGGTCCCTGTTTTATAACAAAGCAGTCTTAGCAGTCCCATTGGCGAGGTTTATTGATTCAATGGATGGAGCTTACTCAGAAATTAAATTTCCAATAAACAATGGAAGTATAAAAAGCAGTTGAAATTGATTCTGAGTAGTATACCAGGAATTCTAACATGTATGCAAAGGTCATTTATTAACAGTACGCACATAAAAACAATTTGAAATCATTTATAATATTTATTGAAGGAATAAGGCTTTGGCACCCACATGTATTAAGTATACTGAACATGAATATCTAATCAAAATTATCTGGTATATTAATTATAATTCAATTTCTTCATTTTCTGAGATTGAAACTGGTTCCATTCTACAATTCTACCGTCTTTCAATTCGAAAATTATATTTAGATAATTAATATAAAATTAAAAATCAATTATCTCCTACACCCTCTGTTGGTACTTTATTCTTAATACAGAACAATGACAAATTATTTGTTTCACATTTCTATGTAACGGTTATTTGGTAGTTGTATAAAAAAAACTTACTATTACTTTTTATTTATTTAAATATGTGTCTTTTCTATAGAGCCACGGCTGAAGAATTATGTTCGCACTGTAAGTCAAGCACAGCATCGTACCCAAGTAATTTAATTGATATAAATAAATTGCATGGATTTTTTTTTTATCATTTTCAAAGAACTCTTAAAAGTATTTTTACTATTCTGAATTATGACCACATGGAAATAAGTACGTATATTGTAGTAAATTTAAAATCAAATGCCACAATTTGTTAGTGATTGATCTTAATAGAAATTATTGACTGGAAGTTGTGCTGTGTTGTCAGGGTCGATGAATTAAGAATCCTTTATATTTCCCTCTATGATAACCTTTGAAAGTAAGCGGAGTTGATTTCCTGATAAATCTGCCGGATTGTAAATAAGGCAGGTCGATAGGTCAGGAGCTTTGGAGGCCTAGTATGCATGCAAATCTGTCTCTGGGTCTGACGCTAAGGAGGCCAAATATGCATGAAAATTTCGTGCGGCTGCTGTTGTGTTCGGTGAGGCCTATTAAAATTGGGACAAGAATCCTCGTAAAATTTAAATCTATGTCTGCATTTTTAAATTCTAAATCTACAATTTTATTTCACAATGAAATGGAAATATAAGGAATCACTGTCTAGTTAGTATTATTGTATGCCAGGGACATCAACAATTGTGGGATTCCTTAAATTAACCGCTCTTTTCAATTGAATGAAGACATACGTAAGCTATGCTATTAATAGATCTATGATTATTTAATGTATCATCTACTAGCAATTTGTATTTTAGAAAGTGACAAGACATTCCTGTATGGTACGTGTATGTATTTTTTTTTTACATTTATAACTTCATTATAAGGCTTTATATAAAATTTTTGAAGAAGTGTTCCCATTATATCACAAATATAATATTTTTATCCCTATGCCTTAAAAAACATTTAAATTATTTTATATTTCAACGGAAACAGTTATATTGCCCTCCCGAACAAAGTTATATTCCCTCACGTGACATCATTCTGCATATATATTAAATACGTCGGGTTCGAAATTCACAGAGGCAGTTGCTAAGCAAAAATAAACAGTTCCGCGAAAATTAAAAAATCTGGACAACGTGTGCGATTTGTTTATTTGAATTCAGAGGAATTAGATGATTTAATTAATGAAAAAATCCTTAAATACAGTTATCAACAGAAGTGTAAGCATACCGAAAACATTTGTATCATGAAACAGAAAAATAAGAATATATTGAACGCGTACATGTGTTCATGGCGTTCAATAAATATGTTGAATATAGAGATTTGGGTTTAGTGTTTAAAAATTGTTATATATATAATATGTATTACAGGATTCAAATATAGAATGATACCGATCCCTTTGGTGTAAACGTATCAATTTCTGTGTTTCAGAATGCCTTCGGCAATTCCGACAAGACACGCAAGGGCTTTCCTGTCACTTTTAATAAACATGAAATTTAATAGGACAATTACGACTTGTACACTTGTCAATATAAATGCTCAGGAGAAAAAGTCATATCACACAAACATATATAGTGTGCTTGAATTAGCTATGAGGACTACAGAAGGTGTATAACTGTAACAGATTTTTTACGAGTAAAATTTATGCACAGCATCAAATCATTCGCAGATAAAACTTAGCAAAAGGTATTTTTACTATTGAGCATTCTTGAAAGGAAAACTTGAAGTAAAAAAATATTAATAGTTACATCTTAATTTGGAATTTATTAAAAATCACATACATGTATCATAGATATTGTTTTTTAATGCTTCACAACCTTGCTATTATTTGTTGACGCGTATCATTTTTCATAATGAAAGGAAAAAAACGCAGGGAAACATAATATTCAAAATTTTTTTGACCACATGACTAAAAATTACGAAAATTAGTCAGATGATTTAAGATGTTAGTTACTGTACCAAAATCAATGTCCAGACTTATACAACCGTAAAATGTATAACATCACGTACGGAAACCGCTAAAAAGCCCAAATATGCTCAAATTGCATTGATGAAGACGAGTTTGTCAAAAAACCTTGATGCGCCATTTAATGCACCTAAGGTATGCACATTATTTTTCATTATTTAGAGATCTGAATTTCTTGCTGTCTTAGTATAGTTTACGGAAGTTCCTTGCAGTCTGGATTTCGAAATAAGACAAAGGCAAAAACGGTTTAATGAACAATTTCTTGTATATTTTCCCCCATAGAACATGTTACTCGTTGTCAGAGAGGGTCTGAATTTGTTTAAAACCAACCCAACAGTAACGATTACGTTGACGCGAAACAGAGTCACGTTAAGGTAAGGTTATTCGTACTGCCACCCGTTTAATCGCCACCTTACTACCACAAAAACCACTATTAATACAATGCAATAGACTATCAAAATTATTACATTCATCCCTAAACTGAAAGAAACCACAATAATGAGCTTTTGAACCAGTCAGCTTTATGTTGTGATCTTATCACTGGCGCATGCACCCGTAGTTTGACTAATTTTTGGTTACCAATGCCAAATATTGCCAAGGGTAGAAAGATAAACAACTTGATGAATTCCATGCAAAGGAGAACCATGGTCGTGACAGATACAAATGTACCCTGGGGTGCAAGTATGCATAAACATTCTATTTGTATCCAGCGAAATTTTATATGTTTGAATCAAGCTGCTGAGGAGTTGATGGAGAATATTACCACTTCAACCCCTGCCATGTTCAAAATATTCAACCAACTTTAACTTTTTTAC